AGTCCTTTACAAGTTTCAACGCTTTCCACAAAACTACGTTTTCGTTTCTATTTTCCTAAGACTGAGTGGTACACAGTTTAGTTGTCTTAACGGTATGCTTCGCCTTAGCATGCCAGTGCAATGATTTCTTCTTAAATTATTGTTTAAATTAATTGTGTAAAACTATGTAATTGTAGTTCTTCGAATAGTAATCGTCGATATTGAATTTTCTATTGTTCCTTTAATTGAAACTCAGCCACTTTAGTCGAGGATAGTAAAAACTTGTAAATGATCACCCAAGTTAGAGTGTTTGAAATAAACGACATTTCCTCTGTTACTTCTTTGTATGACAGTGATCTACAGTTCCCGAGGAAAAACAGAGTTTGTAAATATATGTATTAATAATTATACGATGTCTCCAGGTCGAAGAGGAGGGCTCTAATCGTAGCGTTTTACAAAACGACTCACTTTCGTTCGATTAAGCGAGTGAAAGCATGAAAAAATTAGAAGAAAGACAAACACGATTCTTAATCTGTCGAATCCCAAGGCGAGAGCTTGAAATTGTAATGTCTTAGATGCGATTTGATGGGAAAAACTGCTCAAAATAATTACGGAATCAAATGTTAGAAGGATTCTGGTAAAGTATTCAATTTTCTAAAATTTCCAATTGGAAAGATTCAATGTTTTTAAAATTTGTAATTTCCTTTTTTTCTTCTTTTTTCGATTATTTCTACGTTTCGATTGATTTTTTCAGAATCTGATTCACATGAGCGACTCCCATAATTGTTTTGAGCAGTTCCGAATTGCTGGTTATAAATTAGCAAGATTTTTGTATCGAAAGATTATCGGGCCCTTTTGTTCGAACGAACTAACGCACTTTTATAATATTGTACCTACGTTAAATAGGAGACCTATCACCGAGAAAGGTTTATAAGGATTGTAAGTAACTAGGTGAATAAGTAATTTTAGGGTTCGCGTCGTAGAAATTATCGAAGGAGATACGGGACTGTTCATAAAGCAACCCCATAAATCGTGATATTCAATAAATTGCTAATCAGTGCCATTTATGAATAAATATTTCTGTTTTCCTTTTCTGTTTCTTTTCTCAAATTGGCCATTTTAAGCACTGACGTAACCCTTCTTCGCTCCCTTGCAAAATCTGGTAATTTTTTTTATCAGGCTCCTTAGATAATATTCTGCGTACGAAATGAAAATTCGGAGCTTCCATTTTAATCAAAACGCCTGGAAGCGTCTTCCTGAGCCTCGCGAGAATATATTCTGACCTATGTTCGGTTGTACATAAGCTCACGAATTCAAATCGCAAATGAACTTAAAGGGAAGAAAGGAATGAAATTACTTTGTTCTATATTGCGTTCGAAACGTATCGATCAATTTACGTAATCATGGAATCCTTCCTTGATCGTTTGAGGAATTAAGGGTCGAGGTTTCAGGGCCATCATGTAACCCGGCAATTTCTTTGTAATCGCATTGAAAAGGATTATTGAAGCGCCAGAAAATGTACGATTTTTTTCGACGATAAGAATCATCGAAGACGATCAGTGTCCTTAAAACGTTCGACCCTTTTGCGACCGCGTTAATTTTGAAGTACTGACGGCTTAATGAATTTGCGCATGCCATTCACTCAATGATTAATTCTTATCTGGATTTTAAAGAACGAAAACAAAGAAAGGCTCTTAACGTAACAGTATTTTATAATATAAACGGTAACACACTGATGTCAATGTCCAGATAAGGATTAAGCAGGCATATCGAGGTGAATATACGTAAAAACAAAACTTTGTATAAGTATATATTGTATAAGTCTTGTAACGTGTACAGTTTTTTCGTCCGTGTTCGAAGGAAAGACGAAGGGTTTTTGTACAAAACTATCCTCGTTAAAACACTGCAGACACACGCAAAGGAAAAACGGACTTTTGCGATTCTCTTCCTTTTTTCCGGTTCGCGTTCTTTTTATTTTTCTCTCTCCTTTTGATAACAATATTCGTCGTCTAGCCAAAAAAAGAAAGAACGAGCGAAAAGGAAGGTAGAAACTAGAAAAATAAACGGAAGTGGAGAAAACATTACGAGTACACGGTATACGGTACTGACTATACCGCAATTAACGTAGGAACATATTCGTAAATATTTAAAATGGAGAAAAATCGTGGAAGAGAGAAGGATGGAAATCATGAATGAAGCCTAGGTATAGCGTGCAATTTTATGAAATTTCTTAATTTAAAAAAAATAAATAAGGAAGAAAAAGAAGAGGAAGGATAAACGGAATGAAAAACAAGGAAATATGCAGTCCTATCGCGATATAGATTAATTTTTACATGACACCATGTTGTATAGGCAATAATGCTGATCATACGAATTTTTGATAATAAAACACGTTCCTATTAAATTATCTGTTCATTGTCGTATTGTTAAGTCTTGTGAAGCGGGGCGTTTGGAAGAAAAGAAAAAGAAGAAAGGAAAAAGGAGACAATGTTCTGAGGATAATAGACTATGGGGTAGAAGAAGATGCAAGGGAAGAGTTGAAAATGGCCTCTTTGTAAGATAATAAGGAGACATCCTACTTTGAAGAGAAAAAAAACATAATAATAAATAATAATACAAGAAGCAAGAAAATAAAATGGGAGGATAGGAGAAAAAATAAAATAAAGAAGTCTTGTAATTTTCTATCATGACGACAAGAAAATTAGAGAAAAAAAAGGAACATTGTTAAACGCGAATCTAACGACGTGAGACTGTATATTTAACGTAATAATTTATTTTCAGGGTATCTATCGAGATATTTTTTCATTTGCCATTGTAAAAAAATTTTTGAAAATCTACGCACTTTCTAATAAGCTAAACTATAGTAGGAATGTAAAGTTATATATAAAAATTGTAAGATGACGATAATGATAGTGATATGATTATCGTAATGATGATTAAGAGAGATGAATTATTATTTTCGTCTTTTTCACGGGGGACCTCGATCATTTTTAGCTGGTATTTTCATCGTCGAGTTCGTAAGAATACTGGGAACACTTTGTTCCATGAATATTGTAAATGACGAACGAATGATCTCGGTATTTTTATTATCTGCCACATGATAATGCCGGAAACAGAGGATTGTAGTTAAAGAAGAACAAAAAAATTTTACTTTTATCATGTAACACGTTATAGATGAAGCGAATTGTACTCCGCGATGCGCTCTTTTAAAATTAAGTTTCAATCTTTCGTTTTCCTTTGGCTTCGACTTCCGCGCGAGCTTTTCTTTTCAAGTCTGTCTAGTATTGCGAGAAAAATGAATTTAAATATTTTTTAATTCGAACAATGTTGAAAGAAAAAAAAGAGAATCATTTACAAAACGAAGCTAAACAATAAACGATAAAAATAGTATGCGGTGGGTGAAGCCACTCCGAAGAAACTTATAAAATGCGTGTGTACAAAATAACCAGGTGCGCACGCTCGAACACCGTTTTGTATGAAAAAGAACAGTCGTAAAGGAAAAAAAGATTGTCACTTTAGATTAGTCTGCTGTCAATATAACTAGAATTATAATTTTGAATGTAATATGTATCATACTGATTATTGCCTAGATAAGAAAACCGTACCGATTAAAAAGTTAGCGCACGATTATATCAGACTTTAGGTATAATAATAAATGATGTCCACGGGACATTTTCATTTTTGAAGACACGTCAATTTTATTCAGTAGATATGCGTGTGCAAGACCAGTACGCCCGAGCTACGATACTTTAAACAGTTGATTGTTTTCATTCAATCAAGATAACTTTTATATATTTTTGATACCGAAAACCTTATTTTTATTCGCCAACTTTTACAAAATATTCACATATTTTTCAAATTACAATTTCATACATATATATTTTTAATATCGAATTTCGATAGATTTTATAATAAATGTCTATGTTCACTAATAATTAACTTCAGTAAAATCGATGATTCAATAAAAATAAATGAAAAATTTGAAAGATAGAGAAATTCAAGTTTGAAAATTCGCGCGTATCGCGGTGCACTTGCGCAGAGACAGTTCGTGATTCTAGAACGACGTGACTCTAGTCCTCGACATCGCACGACGCGTGAATTTAGTTACACCCGTACTGTAGTCCAATAAACATGGCGTCGTAGAGAATATCGAATTGTGTTTAGTGACTGAATGTCTGAAATTGTGTAGTGCGGCGATTTTTCAGTTACCAGAGTATTTCGTCATCACGTTGACATGTTCCTGAGGATGTTACCCGACTACGGTTAAAGTTTCATTGAGAATTCCACACCAAAAGGTAAGTCATTTGACAAGGTGCATGCCTTTCGAAATAACATGTTTTGTCAAAGCGATAGTAGCTTATTCAGAAAAATGATAATTTTATGTTATTATAAATAAATAAAAATCCGATAATTTTAGTTTATTATGTGTTCTTGTTGTTATGTTGCAATGACAGATTGTAATTGTTTCTAACACAGTATGGTAGTTGCCGTATGCGGCATATACATAGTTTAATATCGTGAATATGCAAAGATATATATGAAATTATTCTTTAATTGAAGTAAAGTAAAGTAAAGATTTAATATATACAATTCAATTAAATACTATATACAAAATACAATTACCTGTTTTAAACATAGTAAGAGTAATGATTATTTACTTTATTTCAATAACATAAAACTAGAAATTATAATTACCAAAACCGATACCACTTCGACATATAATTTTAAAATTAATATATAACATATGTACTTACAGATAACTGCATATATCTACTTAGAACCAATCCAAATTATAAATTTGTATTAAAGAAACATAAGAGATTTTATATTCGATCTAGTCCATTCTGCAAACTATTTAATGTAATTTATTAAAAATCAAAGAATTAAAGATGTATTTTAAACATATTGGTACTACTGTTTGGATGGAACACTTATTGTCAGTATATCTACGGTTAGTTATTAATCCATCCTAAGTATGGAACAATAGAAAAGTTGAATAATGAATAACAAAAGGAATTGAGTACACTAGTTGAGAAGCACATTATATTCTCAAATATATTTCTTCACAGTACATTCAAAAACTCATAAATTACATAATATCGCACATTTTTGTGGATCAAACATCTATTTACATGCAATTTATATACTAACGATTAACGACAATAAAACTTTTGTCAAAAATGAGTAAGTTTCTTGAAAAAAGTGAGAATAGATAGATCATTGTACAAAGGGATAAACGAGGTTAGTATTAGAGTCGAATGGTTGCACGTGAAGAGTATTATCGCGAGAAACATGCCTCTTTTTGTATATGCGGCACCAGAACCGCAATGTCGCGAAGTACATGATTTCCACCAAAGAGAGGAAACTAAAGCCCATGAAGAGACCCAACAAGCCACCAGTATTAGCTGTATACAAACAATTATGTAATTGAGATCCTTGAACTTTACAAAACTTTTTATAATTGTAAATCATATGCTTTTGTTCAAATTTTAACAATTCCAGTGTTTCGCTAATCTTACGGTACCTTATGACTTCATTAGGGTTCTAAACAACTGAAGAGCGTCTTATATATGTGTACCACTGTTGTTCAAACGCAATTTTTAAATGTTTAATGGAGTTGTAAATTAAAAATTTATTTCAATTGTAATTAATATTTACGATAATTGTAGTTGATAAAATTTAGAAGTATTAGATCTTTATATTATTTCATTTTTATTATCTTTCGTGTTTGATTTTTTAACTGATTCATATTACTCAATTAAAACCTTCGATTGATAACGCTTTATTACATTATATTTTAGTGTTACCATGTGTTTAAACCCTAATGAAAGTAGAATACTATATATTATGTAAAAAATTATTCTCATAAAGCCATCCCAAGCCCTGTCACATATTGTTGTAAAAGACAGAATGGAACAAACAAGAAGAGAACAGTTAAAAGCCAAAAATTTGTGACCAAAGGTATCAGTAAATTTATGCTCCTTTGTTGTTTTTATAGGAAAATATACTATACGTTTGTAATGTAAAAAAATGTGTTGACGATTTGATTTATCTTCTTTGATAAGTATGTTTATATACTGTTAAATTACTACTATCATAAAAAATGAATCAGATCGATATTAGAGCTGAACCCAAAGGATCTACATGAATCAAGAAAGCATTAGATAGAAACATACGGCAATAGATAGCACTGGAAAGCCATTTATCGTCTAGACCCAAAGTCAACATTTTGGTCGCCATTTTAATTAAAAAATTTCGTTAATATGAATCATATATTACGTAACAAAGATTAAGGTCTACTTACATAGAAATTCTGTGAAACCAAACAACTCGTTCTTCATATACTTAGTGAATTGGGAATCGACGAAGAACAGATGGACCACCGCCATGTTGGTACTAATAAAGAAAAATCGTTTCAATTATTTTATGACTAATCATTAGTATAAAAAATTATTACTGTTTACTATATTAATGTGTATTATAAATAAATATTAAATAATAATGTTCTTAAGTTAAAGGAACAAATAAAATTACGAGAAGTATTCTTTGCTTTTCTTCACGTAACTGTCAGGAACAATGAAAGAGGACACCAGTTTGCTCTGTGAGATTTCCACGTTGTAACCGATCTCGAAGCATCCGGGGTAGCAGTTGCAACTGGGCCTGTAAAAGATATGATTTTAACTCTTGTTTTGTCGGAATCTTCTGGTGAGAGAAGCTTACGTTTCAGAGACGTTTAAGGCTATCCCAATGTCATCGTCGTAAAGTTTAACTTCCATTGCTCTGCGAGCTTTCATCGCACATGTATCGTCTTTCTTCTCACAGATTAACGTGTTAGAGGATTCTGGAAACAAATGGTGAATCTAATTTAGAATAAACTTTTATGTTTTAGCTTTTGATATTGAAGAGAGGACATATGTACTCATACATCATAAAGGTATTCATGTTACTTCACAATAAGATAAACGTTATTATTCAATTCAATTTTACCAAAAGACCATACTTGAAAGATCATTTAAAAATTACTAAAAGGAATTCATCTAAAAAATTACTGGGCATGTAATACTGGACGCAATGACAGATTTTCTGCGTGAAATTCGCCTCGCATTCGAGGATGCAGTTCTTCTGCGTATAGGTTCTGTAGTAACGTAGCTTTCTCTCCGAGGTGAAGAAGCACTTCCTCTTCTTTAGGGGAACAGAGATTATCGACTTGCTGGCGGACAATATCCGGGGCGCTATGATCACTCTAGTCTCCTCGCCCGGAGTCACGGTGAACGCAAATTCGGCGATCTTTGGTGTCTCCACCGGGTTATGCAGCAGCATCTGTGAAAACATATTCTTATTCTATCGCTAAATATCGTATATCCTTTCATTTGCAATGTTATGTATATTTCAATCCTGCTCACATTTTAACAAACAGAAAATATTTCTGACGTTGCAAAAAGATGTTTCAACGGTACGTATAATAAGAATTTTTTCATATTTGGTTGAAACTCGGGCTATTTTTCAATTTAGGTCGGAAGTAATCGAAAGAATGCAACAGAATAAAATTGATATCTGGTGCTTAAAAAATGGTTCATAATTCTTTGCTTCTCTTATGTTCTTTACGATATTTTTATTAAATTCAATGTTACATTAATTATGGTATGATTTTAGATTGTAATAGTTGTTAGATGAACGATTAATGTATAGTAGTAGTTTGTAATACTATCCAGATCAATTTCATGATCTGAGATAAAGTACCTTGAAACCAACACTGGCAGTGGACGAACAGTAATATTCATCGACGTCTACATCAAGAACCAGAGTCAGACCATAGTATTGTCCAGCACCGTATGGTCTCCATGGAATGGAATCTGGAGGTACGTTTTCATCGTATCCGGTTTCAGGATTCCAATCGATGTTGTTAAATGGGAACGTCATGTTGATGTCGGACCAATCTCGTCTGCAAGCAAAATTCAATTTATCGAATATGGAAGACTATTTCGAACACCATCAAATTAATATTAAATTAATACAATAGAAGAATTTTCAGGAATGTAGAAATTATTGAAGATCACGAAAGACTTGGTCAAACATTGGATGCTTGAAAATCTAAAAATGAAACTATCAAAAACCGTTATTTCTGGAATTTACTTACGGATTATAAAACAGGTACTTTCTGTCGACAGAATTGAAATTGCAACACATCCCTTCATCTGTCATGGTGGGATTAAATATCTTCTCGCAATCAGTAACATTCCCGTGCCATTTGCACAAATGCAGCATGTCTGTGCAAGATTGCGACACCTATTGAAGAACAATTAATGATGTACAGAATTAATTATAAATATTTAAATGAATATTTCAGTGCTTTTACTATAGTCGACATTTACAGATTATTTTCAGTACTTCGAATTATAATCATTCCTGTGTTCCTGTAGAACTTTTTATTCGCGTCTTTAATTGCGCGAGAAATAAGATAATAATATATGTATAATTCGTAAAATGAGATTGAAAGTACTGTTTATCTTGGGACATCATAAGACAAGTAGACTACAGAGATATATGAATAAGATCTAACATTGTTATCATGACAATCTCATAAACCGTATGTGAAATTCCATTGTGTGTTACATACGTTGATCATAAAACGCAGGACGTTATCCCAAGTTATCGTGCTCTCGTTGAAACTGCGAGGCGACATACTTTCAAGACGACACATATCCTCCAATAACAGCTTCTTTCGTATATCGTTCCTGTTGTTGAATGGTTCGTTGTAATAAATGTTTAATTTAGCTTTCGATGATATTTTAACAAAATATAAGGTGAAGATTAAATTGCTTAACTCTTAATTAAGACATAAACAGTATTAAGTAAAATATATTATTTAGCTATTTTAATAAAAATATGCAATTCCTTTAATATTTTGTTATTAAAAGAAATTTTTTGATAGATCTTTTTATCAGTTGCTTGAGAACTCACCCAGAGTTTATACGAACTGCCTCGCTTTTTTTTACGTTGTTCATGTTACAAATGGTAACTGAGGGGAACGGAAACTGGTCCAGGGACACCGATTCTGGACTGAGAGCAATGATAATGGGTGTCGAAACCCACTTTCGATATAGGAACCAAATATAATAAGCGGCTGTTAGAACCGCTAGTGTAAAGGAAATTACCCAGAAGATTCTGTGAAGGAGGTATTAGATTTTTAGTTTGTTATAGTGTAATAGGTGCTTGTACCTTCTTAATATTCGAAGATAAATATTTACAAAAAATAATACAAAATTATATCAAACATTATGTTCAAAAGTCAATACAGATAAATGCTCATGAACAAATTTTCATTTAAGACAAAAATTAAGATGTCCTAGAATTGTATTAACATTAAAAGTCAAGTCAAGTGAAAGTCAAAAGAAAATGTAAAATTTTCTCAAATAACATTTATTATTCTGAGCCTAAAAATTTGTTCGTGTATTAAATGAAATCATAATATTAATTCAAACTGCACAGAATTACCTCTCGACAATTGACAAATTCGAATCTCCGATATAACGTAAGCCATGAAGAGTACTATTTGTACAATATTGCTTCATAATGTTCGTAATCCTTATGCATCGTTGATTTTCACTTTTACTAAATTCACAAACATATTTGAATATTTATTTCCATCTCTGGTATATTATTACCTTATCTATTATTACCTTATACCCTTGTCGTCGTCATTGTCATAATGCATCAGAGGACTTTCCCTCTTGGCGTGCGCGTTCTTGCTGTGCCTAGACCTTAACGTCGTATCCTTCGATCGATACATAATCTTGTGAAAAGATTAATTCGCATGAAAAAAAAATTTGTACAAATTTTCATCCCAAATAGAAGACAATATACTAGTACATGTAGAACCTTTTCCGATAAGGGATCAAATTTTTCAATGTTGATGCTTGTAGTGTTTTCTACAAGCAACTATTACAACAACGAGAAAACCTAAGATTTGAACAAACTTCTAACTAATTTCATCTTTTGTTCACAAATAACAGGAGTTGACGTTTAAATGCATGGAACGAATCTCTTAGCAAGAAGTTCGATTATACATGTAACTACATAGTAATTAAAGTTTCGTTCCAAATGCATGGAGCTTTTAATTCTATTACCTTAAACGAGGCTGGTCGAACTTTGAAAATGTCTGCAGTGGCGTATCCTTCTAATCTAAGAGGATGTTTGTACGGGTCCTGTAGATGTACAGTGTTGATGGAATAAGGTATATTAGGATCGTGATTCCTCAAATATTTCAGCGTGGCCCTGTCAGTGGTCCTGTAAACGGTTTCGATCGGTTCTGCCTTATTCTCGTCCTCTGGTTTCGAATAATCCCGATAGTACAGCTTTACCGGCATTGCATTGATATCTTGAATTGCCCGATTGCTATCCATACTGCATCATTATCACAAAAAATTCACATTCTCAACGATTTTATAATCGACTTTTGACTATACTTATAATTTCCTCAAAGTCTGATTTCTTCCATTAATACTATTTTTGACATCTTCTACGATGATTTGAAATTGTTTTAAAAAAAAGGTACAGCAGGGTATTACTGTATTTCAATATCATAGCAAGCAGATCCTAACGTGTTTGCAATAAAGAGTGCAAGATCATTTTTAACAAAACATCTTTTTATCAAAAATTCTTATATAAAAGTCGTGTTTTTAATTTAAACAGGAATAATGTATCGTTTATAAAATAATTCTTTACAAGAGGAGTTATAACAGCCGAGTATAATTTTTCTTTACGAAAAGATGTCAACTGTTGAAACTTCAGACGTCGTAAAGAATGCCAACCGATAAAAACGCAGAATTTTTTATGAAAAGACGTAGTACTTCGTACGTTTAAAACAAGTTTCTTTCGAAATGAAATTCCGTACAAAATAACCATTGTTTCTATATTACTACTGTATTAATTTACAAAAAGTCATCCTATATAAGCAGTCGTATCGATCCCTTAAAAAAAACAAACCACAGTGACTTACCCTGTTCTTTATTTCATAGAAACTCCATAATCCTTCACATTTCACTCTCTGAACAGCATCCTCTAAAGAAATATCGATAAAGTACAAAAATCTCTCTCTATATATATCTATATATATATTATTTATCACAGGAAAAATTAATTGAGAATTGAATTATTTATATGAACGACAAAAATGAAATTTCCACTTTCCTAGATTTGCAAAAAATGATTATAATATCTACAGAATGATGTAATAGGCGCCTATAATCGCCAAAAGTGGGATACTAAAAGCGTAATCTCTAACTAGAGATATGCTAAAAGAATAATTTCGCTATGGAGAGCTTTACGTCTTGTCGAGTGATGTTTTTTCGCGCAATTAGACCGACTGAAAAGTGTGTTAGCTTGGCGAAGGATGGTATACAGTGTATTTTCACCGGTCCTTCCAACTATCGATGAAGGATGTCTGTCAACCGACTGGGGGTGGGCACCGACATGGACATCCTTTTAACTCGCTTGGACAGGATCCTCACGTGCCAATGGTTGTCTGTTGTCTTTAGTGTATGCCAACGCGATGACACAGATAATTTTAAATGACTGTTTTATCGTACTGCGAAGGAGATCTATTTCGTATAGTTCGGTTGAAAAATGATGGAAAATTTGATTCGCGGAAGTGCCGCTTCTATGCGTTTCCTTTTTCAATATTACGCGTACTTTTTCTTTTTCTTTTCCTTCTTTTATATATATTAAATGTATATTATTATTATCGTTGTTGTTGTTATTGTTGTTATTGTTGTTGATATTAATATTGATATTGATATTGTATGCAAATAGTTCCTACAATATTTGTTTGAATTTGCGCAATATGAATGCAAGCGTAAACTGGATAAATTGATAAACTCATTAGCTACTATGATTTCCATTTGGAGTTTACAAAATGTACAAACACAAGCGTAGTATTTTAAAACATTCTAGCGAAGAATCTTTTACTTGAGAAACATATTTTGGTTACAAAATAATGGATTAATTTAGAATTTCCTTGGGAACGTTAGAATGTCTTTGATATTTAAGGAACCATAGTTCTAAGCCTCTACAATCAAAATTGTGTTCACTAATGAAGGAAAGCTTGTACATGATTAATCGTCTTTCTTTCTTCTGAAACTTTCATTTGAAGTTTACTTTACTTCTCGTTTAAAGTAATGAACCAATATAAAATTGTTAACTGTAACGTTTAACATAAAACATATAATACCAGAATAATTATTTGTTAAAGTAAGAGTAGAATTTATTTAATCCAACTCCATTTATTTTTGTCAAACATAAAAAGCTAGACTCTATTCCATACTGAACGCCGTATTCTAGACGTTTCTCGAGACGAGACTTACACAATGATGGAAACGAGACACAAGGCCATTCGAAGAACGTACTCACACGTTATAGGAATACTGAGCAGCGAAGATGATCTTGATGGGGCGCGATTTTTCAATGAGATAGGAAAGGGAAGTCGTGTCGGTGTTCCTTTCACCAACTGTTGAGACCAAAGTATAATTGTAGAAAGAACATCGTCTGATCAATATTAAACAACTATACACATGATCACATATTTGTATAACTTATGGTTTTCAGATATAATAGTGAAAGAAGCGATAAAAAGAAATTATTGTATGTACGTACTACGAAATGTACTTTATTCTTTATTAATAATTACCGCGCATCTTGTAGAGATCTATTAAGAATTGCATACCAACTGTTAGTAATAATAATTTCTATTTAAATTCCACGAATGTCTACTAAAAATCACAAATATTCTGTAATATATCTTGCTGTAAAATAGGATTAAAATAGAATAGCCTGCGACTGAATGATTTAATGAAACTTTAATATCTGTCAAGTGGTTTTTCGTTCATTTACATGGGTGCAATGTAAACGAATAATATATCCATATTCAGAGACAATTTTTTCATTTTCTCTTGCATACATATAATTACGATAATCGTATCTTATAGTAATCACTCAGCTGCATACTTGAAAGGTGTATACAACAATTATCTAGACGGTGGAAGGTTCTGTTGTTGATTGCGAAGTGCAAATGTTTGCAGAACTAGCGTAGTACACGATTAAGCAACATTTATTCGCGTTATCGTGCAAATATTACCTTCGACATTCAAACGCGAAAACGAGCAGCATGAAATTTTTATGAAACGTATGAAACAGACCTAATCTAAAGGATATGTAACTGTAACGTTGAGGGGGGTGAGCTTGCACTTGTGTGTGAAATTATTTACATTGACACTCGTTGGTCGATAGTAGGTCATCGTTGTTTGCATTGTGTTAAAAAATGTTGCAAGAGATGACAGTGATTGCGAAACGGCGGCAGTTTTTTAAATTACGTACGATTCTATCTAATTAATGGTACATTTGCAATAATATCACATTAAACACACTAGCAGGTTTGAATAAGTAATATTATATAATTCTCAAGTAAAAGTAAAAAATAGGTCACTTTGCAATTAGCGCAAGAATCTTAATTATTTTTTGCCGTATGATTGGAAGGTTTACGGATTTTTCTTTTCTTAATGATTGGAATATTTGAAAATAATTTTAATTATAGAGGGAAATAGATTTGTTGAGTTAGTTAATTGTATTTCGAAAAAGTTAGATTCGAGCGTGTCTTTTTCTTCATTTAAGTTACAGAAATGACGAAGAAAAATAGGAAACGGAAATTGGAGGAGGAGGAGCAATCGATGATCGATTGGGAACGGGAGAACATTCTTACAGAAGAAATAAGAAATGAGATGGAATTCATGTGGGAGGTACATATTTCTGTTACTTATTCCATTCATAAATCCTCTTTTGTAACGTTTAATTGTTTACAGATTCCACAAATATTCCATTTTCTTCATCTGACAAAAGAAGCTCTGAACATACCTCATTTGTCCATGTATGAGATGGAACGAATGCTTTTGATACCAAGAGCTTCCAGACAATTGGCAAATATCATGACGTCGTTGTTAAGGTAAAGTAGAATTTAGAATCGCAAAAGAAGAATTCAAACATTTTAGATTTCCTTCCAATATTGTTCTATATAAAAATGAATTAAATAAAGGAAATGAAATATTAAATATTCCAAATATTTTTGTAATCTTATCAACTCTTTCCTGAAATTAATAATACTTTTGGTTTTAGTTCCCCCATGTCCAAAGCAAAGTTGAGAAAAATACCACCGATGCCGTACGAATTCTGGACAAATATTCTTGCATACAAGATGAAGAGCTGGTTCAAAATTTACGAAGCTAAACATCAGAATGCGGTAAAGGTGAGAGTTTGTCGTCTTTGTGCTTGATAATGATAATGTTGCTTCAATGTTGTCACTTATTACAAAGCATTGTATCGCGTGTACAACTATCATTGTCTGCTTAAATAAATTAATTTTATACATGGACATTTTGTATTACAGTGATTATAAATGTGATGAAAGATTTTTAGGTTCTAGAAACTATTGGCGTGGAACCTGAGTTCTGGAATGTTTTCCCCGATGCTCCTCTGTTAAATGGCAAGGATTTTGAAGAGTTGACCTTCAGACAGAAAGTTTGGCTTCTGAAAACAGTCTGTGATACAGTCATGGTATGAAAAAATACAACAAAAAGAAAAAAATTAAAAAGAAGCGTCCCATGCATGATAAAAATCAAACTTTAAGGATTAGAAGTTTAGAAATTCATTTAATTTAATTAATAAATTCTTTAGTTGTTGCTACAAAATATAATTTTTAGCACACTAGAAAAACTGTGCAAGAGGAAATAGCCAAGCAACCATGGGAAAACCAATTTGAAACCGTTCTAGGCACCGATCGTTATGGGGCAAGATACATATACTTTCCTCAGTTTCTTAAAAGTGATCTGAGAGTTTACAGACATTGTCTTGATAACAACATTTTATCAACAGTAAAGGTATCCAATCACTAACAATTTTTAGTTCACTTTCTTTCTTCATTGTATCATTTATGTTCTTACTAATATTATTTCTATTTCAGCCGATTAAGCCGAAAATAAAAACGCAGTTAGAGAACAAAGCATTGGTTTCAAAGGATTTAATGAAAAGGAAAACGAAACATAGAAAAAGAAAATCGCGATGGAGTAATGGATTACCACCGAAAACAAGGAGAAAGCCAAATAAAAGTGATGATAAACATCTGAACGATTGCAAGTGCAGTAGCGACAGTGCAATAGGCTCATTGACAAACGAGGACACGAATTTTAGTAGTACAAGCATCTGTAGTAATAACAATAATAGCAGTAGTAATAATAATAATATTAACTTAAATACTATCAACGTCGAAAGGTCGGAAAGTCTGTCGAAATGTTCAGATGTAAGCACTATGTCCGATAAAACATGTAAAAGTACAAAGTCGAGTGGTTACGATACAAATAATTCTGTTCGAGATATTCCTGGTAAGAAGTCATCTCAAAAAATGTTCAAAGGATTTTCTGACAGTAGTAATAACATTAAGTGTAATATAGAAATAATCAATGGGATTTTGAGCGGTTTAAAATGCGAAACTGTCGAGGAAAAGGCCACAGAAAATAACGACATATCTTTGACACAAGTTTCGCAAGATAAATTGAAGATAAATCCAACGAAGCAATCATATTTAGATGCGATGGATGTACATATAAACAAAGGTGATTCTGTCGATAGAACTATTGATAATTTGTCTAGTACCTCAAAAACAGATGATGAAAAACTGAATGAAATTATCAGTGCAGAAAATTTGAAATTGAACGATAAAAATCCGGACAACATGCATGGTGTTAGAGAAACACATCAAACATCTATCACGTCGAAATCCGACGATGAAAAATTAAATGAAACGAGGACTCACGTTCGAAAGCAACAAAATGATACTAGCTTATCTGAGGACAAAGTGGAAAATAGGATTCTCAGACGAAATGGAAGGCTCGCTAAAGAACAGAAATCGAATAACGAGCAGTCAAACCAAATAATTAAAAATGAGACAACATCTTCTGATGATAAAGATCTTTCTTTGAGCGAATTGAGAAGTATGTTACAAAAAGAAGCGATGGAGGATGATTTTTCTTTTGACGAGAATAGTGAGATTAAATACAATCTTAGGAAATTAAATCACCTGAAAACGGAAGAATGGAAACAGGAAACGGAGGATTTTAATACGATGCTTTCGGAGCTTAGTGTTTCAAAATTTCAACTTGTGGCTGACAGTGTTAATTCACTAAGAGACCTTATTTCTACCTTTTCACCAAAAAATGGTAGTCTAAGTACTGATACTGACGGTGAAGTACGTAATGTCTTTATTTTATTTAAAATTATTTTCTTTTAGCCTTTTTTTAATTTATATATTTCCTCAGACCGAACTTATATCTCCATGTGAAGTAAAATTGGTAAAAAGGATGACAGAGTTGCTATCTTCTTTAGAGGAAATGGAACCGGCTTTGCGAGAGTCGATGAAAAGAGCTAGAGGGAAGCTCCAAAAGGAATGGACTAATTTTAAGGAAGGGTATATATATTTCATTTATATTAAAGCATACAATATCATCCACAATATCAGATCTCATCGAATTTCATCTGGGAGTAACAATAATAATTTTGAAAGACATGTATATCTGAAAAACAAAACATGTATATCTGATAATTTGTTTGCACAATTTTTTGTACTTAATACTCCCAGATCAAAAGTTCATCCTACCTGAAACCTCTTAAACTTGCTACAATCTATATATGATCTGTAAAGTGGAACTCATCCACCTTCTTTCAGTAACGTTGCTTTCATTATTGAGTATGTATGACAGACAAGTTGCTGTATGTTGTAGCAGTGCGGAGGATCAGGACTCATCTGGGGAGGGTCTTGGCTCTAATTGGTGGGTTCTTGGATCGCAGGGCTGTCAATTGTCAACTTCCGGAGACGCAACGTTACAAACGTTACCGCAGCCTACCATATCCCCAACTGGCTCCCAAAACGTCTCCAACAAGATCGAAGAGGTATCCGTTAGTCACGCAGAACACAATAAAAAAGAATGCACAGAATCTCAAGATGAAAGTTTACAAAACGAAACGCAAAGAGAACAATCTGAAAGAGACGAAGGCAACAGTCACAAGAACGCAGGAATTGAAGAAGAGACAAAAGAAGATTCAAGCGAAGAAGGTATAAATAAGAGGCAGTGAAATGACAATAAAATGTTTTAATTTTAACAAAATCATTAATATTAATAAAAAATTTCATTTTATTATGAAACTAGAACAACAAACGCGAAGAGTGTTACGAGCTCGGGGCATTTCCTCATATACAGAACAACTTTATTCAGACGATGAGATCGAAGAGAACGAGCTGGAAGAATGGACCGACGTTGAGGCCGTGTACGCGGCTCCCAGCACACAGACAGGTCCATCCACTTCATACCTTACTCCGAAAGTCAGATACGCTGACGATCGGACAAACGAGGAGGAGGACTCAGACCAAGATTGGATTTTACCAAGCTCTCGCAAAAGGAAAAATAAACGTCCATGTTAGTATAACAACGTGAAATTATTATAATCAACACTTCAGTAACTTTACCAATTTTTTAAAAGTATTATAGAGCATTATTATATATTATATATTAGCATAAGGAATAATCAATGCAAATTATAATAATGCAAATTATATATTACATATTACATATTATCATAAAGAATAATCAATGCAAATTATAATTTATAGCTGCCAATAGAAGATTAAAATCTTTCCAACACAAGTTACAAAGCATCAAAATTAATGCTCTCCAAGACGCGGCAGAATCAAAAGTAACCTCTTCCACCAAACTCAACAGTGAAAGGGAACTTCCTAGAATCAGAGAAATCCAAATATGCAAACCAAAGAAACTGACCAACTCAGAATCTCCTAACAACAACAATAGACAAACAGCAGACAAACAAGAGGATGTAGTTGAAAGTAAACCTAAAGAAACAGTGCCTTCTACAGAAATAAGTTGCAAAGTAGAAAATATTGCAAGCGTGCATTCGGAGTTGGACATCAAAGACGAAGGCCCGATCTATGATTCTACACCGAATCAGTTCGATAGCTGTTACACGGTTAATTCTAATTATGTAATGCTCAAAACTGAACCGAATCCGATGAATTATTATGTGATGCAATCAAATTCTGCAACTGTCGTTCCACAAAGTGCAATCATGCAATCTGGCCCAATGGTCTCAAGTATTATACCACCGATTCAACAAGGTTATTACGTACAAGGGGGGCAAAATTACATTATCCAAAATTCACAAACCAATTTCATACCTTCCCAGCCATTCCAACCTCAAGGACCACAAATGATAGCTCCACAACAATTTGTCAACCATCCTGGTTATGTACCTTACATGGTAGCGACTACTCAACCCCCAACTGGATATATAACTACCGGTCAACAAATTCTTTCGCAAGAAATGCCCCAAAATCCTCCGTTTTCAGTTCAACCTAATCCTACTTCAGTAACTAAACCTTTGCAAAACAGGTATTCAGTGCCAAGACAGAGCTATCCACATCCTAATGGAGCTGTTATAAGAAGTAGTATGTCCATAAGAGGAAATACACCGCGACTCAATAATTCCAGGGTCATGAAAAACGTTCAACAGCAACGCACCCCTGTTAGGATGCAGAAACCGAAGAAACCAACCACATCTTTGGAAAACACCGGTCAGAAGACTACTTCTTTGATAGTTCTCAGCGACAGCGATGATGAAATTGAGATGATAATTACCGAGAAGACCGGTCCTGAGACTGAAGCAGAAAAAGCAAAGAATACGCCTAGGAGAAACATCGCGCAGACTAAGCAAAAGTCAACACTCACGTCAAACGTCACGGAGGTACCAACGAAAGGTGCGATTCCTCCACAGATAATACAACGCATGAATCAAGGAGGGATCTCTATAACACCAGTCAAACCCACACCACCTGTTCAAAATACCAATACACAGTTGGTAGTAGTTGTAAACGAAACTGGAAGCCATTATGCCTTAGCATTGCCGAACGGAAGCAAGCTGATTCTGACTCCTGAACAGGTCGCACAGATTCGAGCTTCGAACGGTGGGAAGCTGATCTTGTAAGACATTATTTTAATTCTAACTTCAAAATCTTTCATAGAATGAATAGAATATATTCGTGATCTCTGGTTCACGTAAATATCTTCGAAATTGATGTTCCTACAACAAAGATCTGTATGATAATATCTGGAGCATTCTGGAGCATTTTGTACCAATTTGTACGCGAATATCAAAAATTTCTATACACTATTTTAAGATAATGAAACCATCTGTATTTGAAGTGTTACTTTGACTATTATTGGATGAGTTTATTCCTGAATCATTTCACTTTATGCTTATGAAGATCTTAAGGAAGACATAAGGGATTTTATGCATTTATCTATTCAAATAAAAAAGAAGGAAAATCTTAACACATTAAACATGCATATATGAATACATCAAACATATTCTAAATATTGTATCTTTTCGAATATTTCTCTTCCCACATTGTAACGTTAGAATGATACTCGAGACCTGTGATGTCTACAACAATTTTCATATATTCTTGTTACGCTATGTTAAAACAATATTTGTATTATACGAATAGATCGGAAATGTTAACAAAACATCAATTTTTTTCGGGCTTAAATCAAGCTTAAAACACTTAAGCAAGACATTGCAAGATGGCGCCATTATACTTTGTATAATTAATAATATACGTATTTAGAATGTTTCGTTTGTAAATTATATTTATGAATTGTTAATTTTCGCCATGACTCGGATTTAAACCAAACATTGAAATGATGCACTTACGGACTGTGGTAAAACGTTATTGTTCACAGGATGAATTGCGAAAATGAGTATTTTATATACTGTTCAACTTCGAATGATATCATAAATACGTATTATTACTGAATAACATGCATTTTTTAGGTCACTAATATAACATGTAAATAATATTCTACATAAATAAAATAATTATTAAGACATCATTCGCGCGTAACCTGAATTATAAAAAAAGCTATATTATAATATAATTATAATATATAATTATAAATATAAGCTTTATAATTATAATTATGATTATAAATATAATTATAAAGCTTATTGAAAGCTAGTAATTCGAATATATAAAATTTACGAAGTTAAAGATTTAGTACTGTACAAATCACTACAAATATATACAACTCATTTGCAGTGAATAAATAATTGGAATAATTACATTATCTAAACTAACAAAGGAATAAATGCAAATAAGTTGTATGAGATATATTTAATTTTCATTTCTAATTATGTCTCAAAACATATTTATTAATAACTAATTTACCCATAGTTCTTGATATGAAATATAATCACAGGGCATTGTAATGCTCTTCTGTATTATTTATTACCCAATGTATGGATCGATGATATTAATTCATGTATAAATCAGAAATTCATTGCACCAGAACAGTTTAATTTTTTTGTTCTCACTTAGAACGATGAATTTTATGAAGTACATGAAATACTGCTTTTGACAAACATAAAAAAGTTATATTATCTTTAAATTAAATATATTAACAAATTAGTTTATTTGAACAACGTTAAATCGTTAAAAATATAGTTATATATATAATATTAATTGTATATATTAATTATATACCTTACATCTCATACTACAAATTATATTATTATATCTAAAAAAGAGGGTCACAAACTAAAAATGTAATATATGAAATTGTTTTTTATTTTACATGTAATAATTTACAAAGTCGAAAATAGTACTCGTTGGTATATATTATTTTCTCGCTTTACAAGCTCTGGCGCATATATTACAAATATATTACAAAAATATGTTAAATAAGCTTTGTACACTTTACAGTGAATAGGAACGTTAAACATTTCAATTAATAATGAGCATGTGTTCTTTTTAACCATCAATCACAAAGTAACTTGAATTATTTACAATTGATATTATGAAAGATTGTATGAATCTTATCACTACGATAAAATCAATTAAGAAAAAGACACACTTCAAGGAAATTAAAAAATTAAATTACAAGTAAATTAAAAAGATGGCTAAAGCAATTAGAATATAAAAAAATATTAAATTGATATTAGAATATTCGTCAATAATTGCCCTAGAAGAATGCCATTATGCCATATATGATAAATTTTTCTTATTAATCACTATCTTCAATTTGATTCCTTTTCTTATAGATATCTTTATCAAAAGCTAGGAATTTTGTTAAACGTGAACCATTATATGGTGTTTCACTTCCTGGTGGATGTAGTCGCATCTAAAACAGACATGCATTTATAAAAATAATATATGTATATAAAAAAAAAGATTCCAGATTTTTAAATTAATAATTATCTTTTATAATTTGGTCAAACATCATGAATGAAATACTACCTACCACAATATACATGTTTGATGAAGTCTTCAGGTTCGTTTCATGATTGATGAAGTTCAAGAATGAATTAATATTTTGGTAAATAATTTCAGTTAATTAACAAGTTATATTTTCACAAGTACAGATAAACGTAATTTTGTCACATAGAAGATATAAAAGACATTCCAAATTTTTGTCACAATTACAATTTACATTTTATCATAGAATATCCATCTGACAATTTAGACGTGCACAAATGAATCAAACGAAACAAGATGATGCAAAGTTAGTGTGCAATCGGTTATCAAAGTATCAGCCGTCGAAGCTACATTTGAAGAATTAATGATCAATTTGCCCAACTCCTTTGTTAGTTTTATTAATGTTATTACGTAAAAGATATTACAAATTCCGGTCACCAAGCACGGAAACAACAAAATAGCACCGGTAAGATTGGATCTTACAATAAAAAATAGAAAAAGATGAAGCATTAAATACTTTATATCACTTACAATGAAAATTAAAAAAGAAAATTATATAAGAAAGTGAATTCACTATAAATATATATTCTAATATTGTCACGTGGTATGATAACATTTTAAATGTTAACATGAATAATTTAACTAGTTAGTCTACGTTTCCTTCTTAAACTGATCGTATCTATAAACTATTTAATTGGACGTTTGAATTTGGGGAAGAAAAATGTTTTGTAATTATAGGACTGGAGGTTGCAAGCTTGAGCATTAGTGGAGGGACCCATTTGCAAAATTGCACGCATTGCTTGATCGTGCAGCACCAATTTCTCATCTATTTGTCGACGTAGTCATCCACGGTGTTCTCATCTCCCTCTGCTTTGTTTCTGAATCGCTTCTGCAAGAAAACAAAACCGACACCAGTCGCGTTACACGTGATGGACATGATGTTACGTTGATGATGATCGGATGATGCGTGCATCACTAGTAAAACTTAGCTTAGCTTACTTCTTCCGTGTGATTCTCTGAAGTTCAATTGGAAGCATTTTATTTTATTAATTAAATGTAAAATCATTAATAGAGATTCTTTAACATACAAGATAGACGTTAGAGATTATAGATTAAGCTAAAGAAGTAAACTTGAATTTTAAAACAGGCCTAAGTCAGGCCACATTTGAAATTTTTTTGGAAAACTCCGTTGGAATATAAATTGAAAAGTCTATCTGGAAACTTTCGCACATTAATGTAAGTAACTGTTTCCATTCTCGCGTTTTCGACTTCCAGTTAAACCTCGTTACAGAAAGGTTTAATCGCGTTAACGTAGAACGCGTAAAATGCAGCTGAAGCGCATAAGCTCCTCTTTAACAATTCAATCAAAACATTGCTGTTTCTGTCTTATTCATCTGATTCGTCCCAGCTGGTTGCACTTGAGTACACCTTGTTCTCTGTTCATACGCGTTCCAAGATTTTCCCGAGGTTTGACCGCTTTCGGTGAGAAATTTCGAGGCCCATGACCTCGACGATGACTCACCATAATTCTGTACTTCTCTTTGCACGCGTATTCGGTCTCGTCCACGTCGTTGTAACAGTCGCTCTTGTAATCGGGTGGGATCGGTTTCCCCTCGAATTGGCAAAGCCTTGACAACGGTTTCGCGTTCACGATCATCTTCTGGAAACCAGTCGGTTTCTGTTGCGGGCAGTAGAACACATCTGGAGTATTTTTGTCGAAAACAATGCTCTTCCGCATCATGTCACCAGCCTCCACTGTTAGTAGGATTACCTATTAAGAACAATTTCTTTATTATTCTAATTGTTCTCTAGTTAGAGAATCTTCGATCTCTTTTTTTAATTTTTAAGTAATTATTTTAATTATTGGAATCATTCACGTGAGCTTTCTTTGCAATCATCTAAGAATAATTGATATATTAAATAGCGATCGAGGAATTTATATTTTTAAATACTTTCGTAAATGGTAATATTACCTATAAACAAAAGTATTTAACAATGATATGTTGTTAAAATTAAAAAAAGCATAATATCTTTTAGAAACTTACTTATGTAACAAAATCTGCTATAATATATATTAGAAGTTCTAGTCATTTAAGTAAGTTACTGAAAAAAATTATGCTTTTCCAAATTATAAAAAGACATTTCAAAATTCTAAGACACATAAACAGAATTACATAAACCTCTGTATCTCATTTTTTAGGCATTTTTTTACCAAGTATTTTTACTTTACAAGCTAAAGAAAACATTCCTGTTTTAAAAGATCGTTACAGTTTATGTCAATCTTCATCTCATTTGATATGATTCATACGTCATTAACTGCACTTTCCATTTGTGAAAGGATCGATATTCTTCGACTCCGAGTTCGCGAGTTTTACGCAAGAAAGCAAAGTGCGCAATTTGCGTGCGATTTCTTACAAAGTTCAAGTAGAGTTATATAGAATCAGTAACAAAAGAAGAAAGAAAATGATACAAAAATAATTCGGGATTCTGTGTAAGCCGTTGAACTTAAGTATGAAAAAAGTAAAGTGTAATCTTTCCTCTCACGATGGACGATTTCTCCGATTCATCGGTTCGCCAGCAACGAATTATGTACAATGCATTCGTGATTAGTTCCGGAAGTGTGAAAAGCAGGAAGCATAAGAAACCGTGATATATCTGATATACTTACGGCAAGCATAGCCACCACACTACAAGCGTATGCGATTCCTGAAAAAAGAAAAGGATGATTTTTGTGAAATGAGAAACGTATGAAAAATAACAAAAATGATAAAAAAGTTAAAAATAAGGAAATAAAAATATATACGGATCTTAAGAAGATGAAGAAATATATTGTTCTAGAAAAAAGAAAGAAAGTATGACAATACTTTCTTTCTTTAAGGAAATAGAATAGTTTGCAATGCCTGAAAGAATTATTATTTTAATAAAATAAATCGATAAGGTGCAATTAATATGCGTTACTTATTAAGGATTATGTGAAATAATAATAAAAATAATATGCGAAACTAACAAGTATATGTAATTTAGAAAAGGGGAGATGAGAGAAAGGAGAACTACTATATATGTAACTCCAAACGAAATGAAGAAATGAAAAAGAGATCGGTTTCATACTTAAAAGGCGGGGCACTATTGGGACAAAGCAAAAAGTTTCATTCTGGGCATGGAAACTTACGCAAGTTGGCTTGTGGACATGGTTCATTATTAAATGAACGTAAACGATAAAAACTGGGCCGCGAAGAAAAGGAGTCAATGCCATGCATGTTCATTATACGCTCGACACGATTTTTCTTCTTTCAATTGAATTTACTTACGGTATCGTCGTTCGACTTTATTAAATTATTAACTGAATTATTGTAACCTATGGTTGCAAAAAAATTTCGAAAAGGAATATCTTCTACACTTATATTTTTGAGATTACAACAACAAAGACTAAAAAGAGAGTTGTTTAACAGCAAATAGTACTTCAATACCAATAGCTTTTCTTTGGATTTTCATACAATGGAAAATAGAGAAGAGAATAAATAAATTATCGATAAAAGAGGAAAGGTAGAATAAAAAGGAAGAAAGAACAACCAATTCGACCAATATGAAAAAAATTCCTTCCAATTCTTTAAAACTCCACTATTCTAAAACCGACATAGGAAATATTTTTTATTTCTCAAAAATTTGAAGAAGATGATAAAGAAGAAAAACAGAGATACTTGTTTCTCAAAGAAACATCTTCAAGAATACATTTACATTTACATTTGCATAATGATATGAATCAAGAGAAATTGTAATCGTTCTCTTAAACCGATCTTTGCTTTGGATTTATCTTTAATTGTACGTGAGTAATGGGAGGATACAGTCAGACAGACATTATTTTTATCCGTTGGATAATCTACTATCGATCTAGGCAGCATTCAAGCGCATTTCTGCAAGGACGACGAGGTCGGTATGGTTCCGTGTGGTGCATTCGATCGGCTTGCTCCTGTTTCAAGATACTGATCTCGTTGAACCGATACCCTCCTGACATTTTGTTGACACCATGCGACACTCGTGAATAGAAATAAGAATGATCAATCAAATTTCATCCATCCCCTTTTAATTCATCTTATAAATGATGGCATATTTATAAAAATATTAAAATGCCGTTTATGTAAATCTATAAAGCTAATCTTGGATGAATCGATGTTTCTAGTTATGATGCCTGCAAGTAAAATAAAATTGCGTATATAAAAATGAAAAGTATAAAGATTACTTAACACAGAATATTAATTTAATGGAATTCTATTAACTTAATATATTGATATAATAAAACGTGTTGATTTCCAAACATAAAAATAAATTAAGCAGGTTGTTTATATATAAAAATCTAAGAATTAGAATTAAAGAAGGCATATGTGACTTATCTCCCAAACAGCTGATTCCTATTTCCTAATCGTGATGGTATTCTTTTCTAGGTCAATGTTTAACGAGGTGTAAAAGCATAAGAATTGCGAAAGTGATCGCTGACTCATCGTTTGTCAGAAATTAAAGACAACTATTATTGGTTGTAATTTCTAACGAAAAACGATCCAGACAGTACAGTCTGGAATCTTCAAAATATGCAACGAGATGCATTTTGATGTAACATTTCCTCCTTGACATTTGTCTATGACATTTAAGATCTAGTTCATTCACCGTAGTAAGCATAAAGTTGCTAATTTATCCTTCCATAGCGTAGGATTGTATCTTTACTTTTAACTGATCTTCCGCTACCTTAAATATCGCTTAAATTCTTAGAAAAAATAATATATTTATTAATAATTCAGAAGATAATTACCATAACTGTAATAATCTCAATATGGTGATATTTTTAGTGAACGTAAGACTTAAACGACGTATCAAAGCCTTTTAAGTAGCGAATACCATACCGATACCGATCAGTCACGTGAGTAATTCTTTAATTATTTTGAACGCAACGATACAATCGTAGATATCTATAATTTCAGATTTAGTCAGTATTTAAATTCATTGAACTTGTAGCTATCCTTTGCACGATTAAGACAGAACCATACAATAGATTCAAAAATTAATATTCAAGTCCAGCGTTAGCAGATAAATTTTATAATAAATGTAATTATTATAAAATTTATTATTGATGATACGTCAACATGGAAAATACGCAACATTATTGTTATGTCAGCAAAGACGCATAAGCACAGAGTCTAATGTACTCGTGTGTCTCATCCTGCATACCTAAACGAAGACGCAAGGCATTACTGCGTGGGTTTCACCTTTGATTTATTGCTTTCGCTGCCGAAACAAGCTTCAATACGTTGCAGCGTTTCAGAATCGAGCGCGGCAAGCAGCTTTAAGTTTGTCCGTTTCGAATAAGTTGGCGCAAACAGGATTGAAACTTACCCATGCTGGTGAACGTGTTCTGCACGAGAAAGAGCACCTGTTGATCTACGCGAGACGGCGTCTCTTCGTTGACTGAGATTGCACCGGATTCGCGCTCACCGCAGGCACTCGTACTGAAAGTGAGTGCCGTTACGTTATACAGGATGTATCAAAACCATAGGACTAACAGTATCCACGCAACTATGGAATCTAAACCTCTCACAGAAAGAGCATAAAGAATAAGATATTTTGAATAAAATATGTCTAAAGAAAAACCTTATCTTGGAAAAAATAATCTTCCTTTTACAAGAGAGGTTTAAAATGCTATGACTAGTGCCAAGTACTCATTGTTAAGAACATCCTTGCATAGATATATTTTATAATATATAAAATGTATAGAAATGTACAATCGTTACTGTGGTACTGTTGTTTGATAGACAGTTTCGGAGAATTTGATGAGGAATGGAGTGGGTGTTAGGTGGGCAGGAGGCCTCGTCATTTCCATATTCAGGTTCGATAATGTCATCAGTTTCTGGTGGGCTTCATTCTGAGGGTCGAACGTCTTCTAATTAGGAATTCGCAAGAAGTTCGTTGTCGCGCAGAATTTTATTTCACGATCCTTTTAGCATAATATTTGTATACAAAATATATCGCGTATTTTTCTTTCACACATAGCTTGAAAGTACGAGATACCTTGTACAAAAAGTAAAATTATTATTTCAAATATAATCCAATTAAACTTTATTAGATGGGTACTTAAAATACTGTAAACGAGTTGAAGAAGTTATATATTAGCAGCCTAAAATATGAATAGAACATACTAGATAAATATTCAAATACGTACATATGTATATATAGTAACATCTGTTATCTTATTTCTTGTTATACCAATTCATCAAAATCAATATCTGAGAAATCCAGAAACAAAAGTAATTCTTTATACAAGTTAGTTTCAATATCAGCTATGTTCTATCTTTTAATAAACACTTTGGTATTAATATTATCATTGATCTGCATATTATCTTGTTGTTTCTTCTCACTTCTAAATAAAATATATAATCATATTTTTATGATCACAAACAATGTTACTTTCAATATATGTATAAAGAATTCTTATATATATCTTATATATATTATTTGTAAAATAAAATATATGTATTATGATGAACATCTATAATATTTATATTAGTAAAAACAAATTAATATATACCAGATACTGAAATAAAAGCTCCTTTATATTTGTATCCTTTTTGAATATCATACTTTGCATAAGGAACTGTCTATCTACCTAAGTATTCCTTTTTAGTCTGGAGCTTTAAATTACCTCTGGCCTTTTACCATGCTCAAAATCTTTTGGTGTCTATTTAAAAAAAATAAGAATATTAAACTGTAACTATTACATATAACATAATACATATAAATGATTTCTTGTTTCACAGTATCTCCTTACTTTAATATAAGAAGCAATTGATATTTTTTACCAAGTAACTCTCAGGTGTAATAATATATATACTTGGCTTTTTTGATGTTTGTATTTGAAAATTTCAAATTTAATATAGCCTTATCAAATATTATATGTTTGCTATTAGTCTAGTAAATAAATTTCATAGTGATCCACAATAATATATTACAAAAATAACTATAGTCTAATAGATGAAACCTTTTCATGGACATCTTTAAGAAAAATTTCACTAATTTTAAGACTAGTTGAAATAGTTCTCTTATCTAAATAATAAAATTATAGAATTAAATTATATATAATAATTTGTATAATGATGTTAAAATAAATATTTACATTGTGATTAACTTAGTGTTTTCTGCAGAAATGGTATCTACAATTGCATCTGCTTAAAATTGTGTAATAATATCCGCTTCTGATTAAAATCAAACATCAAAATGATTCGTCTTGTAGAAGCATCAATACTAAAATGAAAATTATATTGTAATCAATATTATAACATGAGTTAAAATAAAGTTTTACTATTTCTACAAGTATAATCATAATATACATAAACATACCCATTCTCTTTCATAAATTCCATTGCAACCTCAAGTACTTTAATCCAACTAAAACAATGGTTTTTACTTTTTAAAGTCATACACATCTTTACAAAATCATTTGGAACCTAAAGATCTGTAAATTCTATACATGTTTTGTAATCTTATTGCATTTGCCTTTTAACCTTAAAAAATGTATAAAAGAATAAAAATTACTATTATTTTTTACATATACTAATGAAGTCTTAGGTAAAAGAACAAGAAAGAAATAAAATTAACTTGTATATTAAAACCAAGTAAGAAACAACAATGACAATATATATAAGCATACTTATTCTGTTTTGATTAAAATTTGATTTATATCCTTTTGCGCGCCCATCAAAGATATTTAGAAACCGATGCGGGGATGCGAACTTGTCAAACAAAAAGCGCTAGATTATCGCCGACATCTTGTAATATTCAATTTTACGAAAACGATAGTGAGTTTAAAATAAAGAAAATGCGATAGAATCTTAGAGCGATATGCATGGAACGATTATTAAGAAATGAAATTTTGGACGGTCGTTGCTCTCGTACTCGTAACATATATGTTCTACAAAGATCAACAACGAAAAAAGTTTCAAATCTTTTAACCTAAGTTGAACTTGAAAAATTGCTTGAGGTGCGCAAATGTTAGATTATCAGAAAAGGCGCGCATTGCAGAATTCGTAACAATTGTAAGAATGAACTTATTTTATAAATTTGTTTAAAATTAAGTGCAATTTCATCGCGTGTTCGAAACTTCGATGTTTAGTGATCACAAAATAATAATTATATTTCACGAATTCTTCTATTTATTACGGAAACGCACAATTAACAATTTCCTTCTATGTTCTAATACAAAAGTTGTTTTATTCATTTAGGTTATTCTTGTTAGGTGAGATACTATTTATTTATTGGATTTTCTCGTCGGTTTAAGGTTAAACTGTTTATTTGGCTTGACGTTAGTTTTATCTCGTAGATTGTGTTACAAAGCTTTTCTACGATCGAAATAAAATGGAATTAGACATGCATACTTCGTGGACTCAATTAACAGAAGAAGATGATGCTCTTCTTAATGAAGCCATTTGCATGAGTTCACATGAATTGACCAAAATAGTAGACTCTAATAAGGATGCAAAGAGGGAGAATTTTTTAGAAACTAATTCTTGTGCAGCTAAGACACATATTAATAGTGAACAAAAAAAGGAAGAAGATATTAGTTCAAATGTAGAAATTGATAACATGTCTAAATTCAGAGAAAATCAAAGAAACAATGCAGTCAGTATAAGTTATGAAGATAATGTAAGGAACAAGCAGCATGATGATGGTTTTCGCAAACGAGCTAGGGAAAATCAAATAAATGATGAGGATGCAAAAGTTTCTCGAACTAGACACAATAGTGATTCAAGTTCTACTACTAATTCTTCAGATAGTAATAAGAGACGGGTAGAATATGAAACAGATCCTAAAGTATTAGCTCGTAGACAAAAAGAAATAGATTATGGAAAAAATACTATTGGATATGATAGATACATACAGGCTGTGCCTAAGTAAGAATATTGTTTATTACGATATGGTCAGAAATATTTATGTTGAAAAATATTACATTGGTTACACATATTTTAGAGAAAAACGTACAAGAGAGCATCCAAGAACACCACCAAAATATATTAAATATAGTAGAAGAGGATGGGATAGCATGGTAAGGTTGTGGAGGAAACAACTTCATCAATGGGATCCTCCACAAGATAGCAATAATTCTGATTAAAATAACCTTATGTTACCAACATTTTACTTTATTATGCAAATATATCTTTCTGCGCATCATAGTTCCGTGATTTTTATATCTGTATAAAATTTTATAGAAAGAACAGAATTAGATGAAGTGTAATATAATTCTTGGTATGTTCTTACATATGAATATTTACATGTATTTAAAAGGTTCAATTGCAATACAAAAATGAGAAATAAAAGGTACATGTAACTGATAGTCAAAATATACAAGACTTGACATCACTATATGTGAAGGTTCAAAAATGTGTAAATAGATATTCAGGAAACACTTAGGAATAAAACCCTTTTTAAGAAAAACTATTATCTTCAAAAATTTTTTATATGTGTATATTTTACATATATATTCCATACAGAATTAAATATATATTGTCATTATTTACAAATATGCTTTTAAATTATATAAATGAAAGGTCACTTGACACTACATCGAGTTTCTAATTGTCTTAAAATAGTATCAAGTTTTTCATTTGTTTTTTGTTCCATTTCATCAATTTTTTTCATTAATCTTCCTTCCATATCTTCAAATTTCTTATCAATATATGTCACAATATCTATATTATTTGACACAGTGCTATCAATCGCAGATTGTGCCACTTCTTCTTCATTGTTTTTCTGAACACCTTTATTTTTTGATAAATTCAAAATATTCATGTAACATGACTGAACATCATTCGTGATATTGTTCTCTTCATTGTTAAAACTAAGTTTAGTTAAGAAATTTCTTATTATTTCAGGATTAAATATTTCTGTGGAAAAACTCTTAGGTTCATTAATTGACTCTGTTACATAGAGCTTTATACCATATATCCACATAACTGAATTTTTACTTTTTGTTTTTGTAAACTAAAATAGAAATTTTGAATTAAATATACATTTTTGTAAATTAAATCCATTGTATGTATTCTCTATACCTTAATGCTAGCTTCTGTAGCATGTGGAAAAATTGCTGTCTCTGCAAAGTAGACTGAATTGTCTTCAAATTCATCTACAAATTCAGCAAACTTTGTTGTTTCATATTCCCCAAATTGTTTGAAAAATTCTAATACATAAGCTTCAGAAACTACAGCAATCTGGGAAATTCTCTGCCCATTAGTTAATCTTACATCTAGCATACATGGTTCATTGTTGGATTCAATTGGTTGTAAAGATATACATGTACTTAAAGAAACTATGTCTTCGAAGTTAGTTCTATAAAAAAATTCATACTTATTTATAAAAATGTGAATATAAATTAAAATAACAAAGAAATATGGCAAGATCTGATAGTAAGTTAGGATATTTATAATACTTTATATTTTCCAGGTTTTATATTACTTTAAATACACAAATCTAGTGTATTTATAAGTAACACATAAGTATACAGTGTATATAGAGGAATAAGTGTATATATATAATTATTATATGAAAAAAATTAATATATTTTAATATGTAAATATCTGGATTACTTCATAAATTTTAGAGACGAAGCTTCTAATGTGAAAGCATCACGAAGCTGTTTATTATTGCTGATTTTCCAGTTGCACGAGATTTGTAAATAATTCGTATCTAATGACAAGGAAGAATCATCAACTTGCTGATCTGAAAGTTCCATTATATGCAATTCTTTAAACAGAATGAAAATTCTTTAAATAGATTAACATGTATTATCAGCCCAACGATAAGAACTTGTGTTCGTTATTTTCGTAATGTCATTTTAAATTAGATTTCAAATTCGTATTAGTACACTTCATTTTCATGAAGGTTATATTTATGTTTCACTTCATTCGAGCAGAGACTCTCCTTTAGAAAATCTTGCAATTAATTATTAACGTATAAAAACTTTCAACCAGAAATAATTATTTACTTCATATATTTATTAACTAACACTCAAACTGATCGAGTTTTCATACGTGTTGCAGCTAATATAACGTACAATGAGAACTACTTGCAATGGCGCGAAATGTGTTATTACGTGAATAAATGAATGAGGAACAAAGTCAAAATACCAACGGTTGTAAATATATACGCTAGTTTAGTTATATTCTTGAATAGAAAAAATTTTTTAGCCGATATAACGAAAGTAAGTGAAAGCATAAACAATAAATGTTAGAATGTATCCATGTAAAATTTTGAATAAAGTGCTTACACGATTAGATGTGACAGGTGGTGGGGACGGGGGCTTTCGATTAAAGCAGTTGTGCAAAGATATTGAACAGAGTAAATCGCCGTTTACGAATCGTCTTTCGTCTTTGCGTGCAGTTAGCTCCTACAATAAAAAAATGTCGAAATATACAATTGTTATGGTACGTCATGGAGAGAGCGAATGGAATAAATTGAATCTATTTTGCGGATGGTATGACGCCGATTTATCCGACAAGGGTAAGTCATTTTTAAAAGGAAATTCTGAGAATAAACTCCAAGGGCAAAAGGTCAAATATTTCGAATGTGATGTTAACCATGTTTTATTGGTTAAGTTTCTTTATTTTAAAGACGTATATCTATAGAGAAAAAGATAAATTAATGAATAAGTGTCATGATTAGGTAGCGGATATTTATGCAATTATACAAAATCTGGAGATGCAAAAATGCATAGAATACGTATACAGAAGCATAGGATATACCTACAATAGAAAACTCGTTATAATTTTTAATAATTTTTAATAAGTAAAACTCCAATTTTATTCAACTTTTATCGCTTTAATTATGTCCTTAACAATATAAATTTGCATAAAAATTTGCACTTAAGTCATGATAGTGACATTATCACTAAATTACAGCTATCCATGATTTCAATTATCCTATAAATATGTCACATGGTCAAAAAAATAAAATAATCTATAGTTTATGTAATGATATGAAATTCATTATTTTCAAAATTATGCTATTGTTTGACATATATATGTTTATTATAGGTAAAACTGAAGCACTTTCAGCTGGAAAAGCAATCAAACAGGCAGGCCTTAAGTTTGATATCGCTCATACATCATTGTTGACAAGAGCTCAAGAAACTTTAAAATCAATTCTTAAAGAAAGTGGTCAAGAAAACATTCCTGTTCAAAAGACATGGCGTTTAAATGAACGTCATTATGGAGGACTGACTGGTATGAATAAAGCAGAAACTGCTGCTAAGTATGGTGAAGAACAAGTTCAAATTTGGAGAAGATCTTTTGATGTACCTCCTCCACCAATGGAATCAGACCACAAGTATTATGAAACAATAGTAAAAGACCCAAGATATGCAGATGGACCAAAACCAGAAGAATTCCCTAAATTTGAATCTTTAAAATTGACAATTGAGAGGACATTGCCATATTGGAATGATACTATTATTCCACAATTGAAGGAAGGGAAAAGGATTATCATTGCTGCTCATGGAAATAGTTTACGTGGCATAGTTAAACACTTAGATCGTCAGTTATTATTTTCTCAAAGCACAACCAATTCTGTTTATTTATTATATTAATAATCATGTGTTTCTTTTTTTAGAAATGAGCAATGATCAAATCATGGGATTAAATTTACCAACTGGTATTCCATTTGTCTATGAATTAGATGAAAACTTCAAGCCTGTTGTATCTATGAAATTCTTAGGTGACGAAGAAACTGTAAAAGCTGCAATGGCTGCAGTTGCTGCACAAGGGAAAGCTAAGTAAAATTAAAGAAATTCATTACAAAATTTGTATTATTATAAACAAACAGAAGATGTTAATTTTTAGTTTTGGCATTGTTGAAGAATTATTTTATTATTGGAAGATACATTTAAATAAAAATGTTTACAACAGAAGAAAAATAGAAAAATAACATAAGTTTTCACTAATATTACAAGTTTCTATGTGTTGTAATTTATTCAAACAAATATTTATTGAAAATAATTATAAAATTACAAATATAAAATTATTAAAAGATATTAAATGTAATTATTTGTCCTTGAGATCTTACCTAATATTAACATAAATATATATAAAATACAAATTGAATTTAAAGTAGGTATGATCAGATGTGATATACAATGAGATAGTAAAAATATAAAAGCGCCATCTGTGACAAGTAATAAGTAATAAATGCTTGATAGAGTATTTATTTAGTTACGTATTTATATGCAAGTTTACCAGTTTTTCTTGGAATAGACATTGTACTGAATTCTTGATGACGTCTTTCGTATCAAAGGGCATTGTGGTCACCTTCAGATTTATCTTCTACAAATATTAAACAGTAGTTACTCTTTAACATAAAAAATAAACAATTACTCTAACCTAAATGGTACAAAAAGGACTAGTACTTATTTCGTAGCATTATTACACTGAGGAAGTTTCATTATTTAGGGATGAATCGCGTCGATTTGAAAGTGGTTTTATTGGGTAACTCAGCTGTAGGAAAAACGAGTCTCGTCGAACGTTTCGTAAATGAAAGGTTTAATGAAGGTCTATCTTACCAAAACGTAAGTACAATCACATACAACATGTATATTATACATTACTTTATATAATGTAATAAATTAAATAAATGTTCGAAATTGTTTTCTTTATCTTTTCTTTAATCATTTAACGTAATATGTACAACAAATAAGGAAAATTTAGTCTGTATATCCAATTTCTCTAGAGATATCAGATTATAAAGAACTATTATTCTTGTTTGTCAATTGTACAATTCATATTGGAATGACTTAGGGACTATACTGATTTAGTCTGTCTTGTTCCTCTTAGTCCGCGAAGTGGAAGGAATATTGTAAAATAAAGTTATTAAGATTTGCACTGAGAATCATCTAAGAGATGCGTCACAAAACAAATTAACCCAGTTCCAATTTCCTTAGACTATAGGCGCTGCGTTTGCAGCTAAGCAAATGCAAGTCAATGGGAAAAGGCTTATCATGGGAATATGGGATACAGCAGGCAGTGAGAAGTAAGTAATCTTCAAAAATGAAAAATTCAAAAATGTTGATTGTCATAAATTATATATTTTTAGATATGATGCTATGAGTAGGATATATTACCGTGGTGCGAAGGCTGCTGTTATCTGTTATGATATCACAAAATCAAATACATTTCAAAGAGCAAAATTCTGGATAAGGGAGCTTAGGGAAGTTGAAGAAGGATGTAAAATATACATTTGTGCAACAAAAAATGATATTTTAGAGCATGGTGCAGTTCCATCTCCTAATATAGATGTTGTAAAAACATATACTGCTGGAATTCGAGCTAAATTGTTTATAACATCTAGTAAAACTGGAGAAAATGTTGGTAAGGATATATATTATACACTCTCATTATTGTTATAATGTGTGATATTTATTAAGTTAATTTTGTAGCTGAATTGTTTAATGAAATTGCACAAGATTTTATGTCTGATCCAAATAATGTACAAAAAATTGAAGAGGTAATTGATATAAGTAACGAACCCAAAGTAACATATTGTTGTTAATGAATATAACAAAGTCAGTATTAAAAATTACCATAATTTTCTTATTTATCATATTTTATATTATTTTGTACAAGTGAATATCACGAATATAAATTAATGTGCAGATTATTATAAGTCAACACATTATTATATGTAAATGTAAGGAAAATTTTCACGTTTGTTGATTATTTTTAAATATACTTTATATTTTACATTTCTTTGTGTTCTTTATTTCTTTCCTGATACGTGCATACTCACATTCATTTAGATATATTGTGGAATAAAAGTGTGCTTTCTCATTTTTAATTATTACAATTTAAATGCAAAATTTGCGGTAAAGACTACAGTATCTTTCTATTAATAATTAAAATATAAATGCAATTGTATTTTCATTTTGTACTTTTCTATGTCATGAGTAAAATTCAATGTAACGTAAATACTCATTCTCTTCGAAATCTGAAAAGTAATAAGAGTAGGTAAAGGTAGTAGAAATAGAAAAAGTAATAAAATATGTTATAACAAATGCAATGTGATCATAAAAAAAGTTTAAAAAAATTTTCTTATTCATTAATATATTATATTGCTGATGAAAGATTAACATGCAATATTTATGATAAAATTACTACCAAATACATACGAAATTAACTTCTATCTCAATTTTCTTTCTATTTTGACTCTATGGTAGTATTATTTGACAAAATATTAACCATGATTTATATTTATAAATGTATCTTTCACAACATTATGGTGGCAAAACCGCAGTACAAATTTCTTTAACTTTTTCGTAAACACCAAAAAATACGAATCCGCTAATAGTAAAACCACACACTCTTGGTACAAAGCCTGCAAAAAGTCTGAAAATATTTATCGATTATTGTGTTTGTAGGATAACAAGTAGAATTGAATATTTAAGAGACAAGCTTGTTCTGTACCCTTTAAAACCATGATCGTGGTAAATTTTGCTTAACATCGCGGATATTTTTATTTCATCTTTCCCTACCGTCACATTCGACAACATTATTCTAGTTTTTGCAACGTCTAAAGGTGTCGTTAGGGCCGCAGATATGGCAACTATAAAAATCAATGTTCGTAATAATAAAATATACAATGTTAATGCATGCCCGTGATTTAATTAACTTTTTTTTATTTTTCTACCTGACGTCGATCCGCAGATAGCACCCTCCATAGGCGTGCACTCACGTTTCACGTGCTTTTTCCAATAAAGTTTAAAATATTCCCAGAGTGGCATCTGAATTAAACCGAACGGTAAATCTCTAATCACAGTACTTCCGTAACCACGATATAAAGCTCTCAAAGGTAATTTGTGGGCATCGCTTAAAAATGCTTGTCTCCTTTGTTTCACTACTTCTACTGGGACTCGAATAAGACATGCAACCTATTAGTAACATCTCAGCATTACTAAACTGCTTGTAATTGTATGTTTAGAGGTAAAAAGGATCGTTTATGCTTTGTATATTGATTATATTAGGGGTGTGCAGGTATTCGAAATCGTGAGCCTGACCTGATCCGAACCTGAGATACCCGAGTACCCATACACCCTTAAATTGTATATATTATTATTATTGTTATTATTTACATATAACATTAATAAGATATAAATTACCATTTCTCCGACTGACGCGGCAGTCATATGTATAAACACGTGATATTGTTCAGGTATTTGAGGTTGAAACATTATTTTTAAAGTTTCATAAGTTATAAAAAATAACGAAGCTGCAAAGAATATTTTTATCAATATTATTTTTATTTTTAAAATGTATTAAAGGATAAATTGTTATCTTAAGTTTACCTGATGGTGCGGATCCTATCATTACGGGGCCTAAACCCTTATACAATTGTCTAAAACCACCAGATTTTAAGAAACCATGTTGACTTTGTAATCGCGTTTTAAGCGTATCCAAAGGAAATGATATAAAATCGCACATAGTTCCTGCGAGAGCACCTGACTATCGTCGATTAAATATTATTTTTCTTACAATTGCATGTGTAGATGTTGACTTAAAAATCTAACTACTCTTAGATTATATATAGTAGATATACAATATATATTAAAAATACGTATATCATAAAAATATAATTTTAAGTTGCAAAAATATCCATGAATTGTTAACCGTAAATTCATAAATAAATGTTATAAAATAATATTATATACGCTAATTTTCAAGAAAATATAATTTCTGTTTTAAAAAATTGGCGCTATTTAATATATTTGTTATTTTTAAATAAATAAACTATAAAAACTTTTTTAAAAAGATTGGAAGGATATTAACATTAATACAAATTTATATAAAATGATTATCAAGTAAGTTTTATAATTTTTTATAATAATGTAAAGAATTGCCATGTGTATTAATGATAATAGAGGCATGCATGTTATTTCATCATATACTCATTACACAATAATTTACTTACGATTAACGAAGTAATGAAAACGTTTTTCGCACCTGTGGTGGCTCCTGGATTACTTTCTTGTAACATTTTCGATTAGTATAATTTTTGATTTTCGTTACTGTATTAACATTATCGAACATTGATAGAAAAATTTAAAATAATTAAATATTTAATATTATTATGTTTCGTTTCGTTTAATTAATAACTAAAGAGTCATCGTGTATGTGATAGTTTAATCATCGTAGAATATTTGTTAAATGAACGAAAGCGATCAGAGATACCTATTTTAGAAATTTAACATTTTGTATCCGTGAAGTAGTGGTATGAAATGAAAAGACCACATGGACATTATTGCGTAATGACATCACTTCACAAGTTAATCATTGTCTACTTACGCTACAATCTCTGATTCTACTGTGATAGTCTGCTAGGTGAAACCTAACCTTATCTCATGTATGTCAAAATTCTGTGTCACCAAGGTTAGGAAAAAGCTTTTGTTTTGAAAACAGTTTTCCACTAGGAAGAATAGATGAAGATGCATGACACAAAATTACTAGACACAATGCATATATATAGAAAATTAACGCAATTACGTCATGAAATCCGTTTCATGCAGTATGAAGAAATTCTTGGCTTTTGTATTTGCTATGTTCCGATTAGTTAGGAGCGCGAATGAAATTACTGAAAAATGATCGACTTGATGTTTTAGATACCGTTAAAGTGTTTACATAACCTTGAATTTCATTGATCACCCCTTTGGGCGGGAATCTCGAAACATTTATATTTTCATTTGATCGTCCATAAAAATGTCACAAAATATTTTGAAAAGCAGCGTGGAAACAGCTTCGTTCAATATTGTATTTCAGGTATATACAATAACACAACACTTTTAAAATTTAAGTATTTCATGGCAAAAAACATCATTCTCTATCTATGAGAAAAATTATATCATTTATATAAATACAAATTCTGCTGCTATTATTCGCGATTACAATACCTTTATTTGCTTATATTTAAAAAAGTTATATTGTTTTTATTAATATCTGATAGCTTGTCAATAAACTAAGATATATATGAAAAAAATAATTATAATCAACTTCTTTTTAGATATTATGCAGAGGAGTCACTTTTATTTTAAATGCCTTCGTTGTTCGGTATGTGGGTCAAGCTGTTCTAGGAGTCATAAATGTGAGACTACTATTATTGGAATCAATGATTTTGTTTCTGTCTCGAGAACCATTTATGAAAGCATGTTTAACCAACACAGCAGAACATAATTGGGCTCAAGTTGTAAATTTATTATGGATGACGTTCGTTTCTAAAAGTGATTAATTATAATATAAATTAAATCTACATAAATACTTAGATGGTAAATATTTTTTCAGGGTTCCTATATGTTTCTTAATGTCCTTACTGTTTGGATATATTTGGCTTTCTGTTTTAACAACATCTGAGGCATTACCATCATATTATACATTTGCAGTTTGGGCAGTTGCTTTGTCTTGTATTATTGAATTATCATCTTTAATCGTTCAACTGGTCGCTAGTGCATTTTTATTTGTTAGGTTGAAAGTAAGATCTTGAATTAAAGATAGTATGGGAAATTGTACTTATAATTAGTTATTGAATTTTTTTAGATTATACTTGATTCTATCATGATTGCTATTCGTACTATAACATTTGTTCCATTGATACTCCAAAATCCAGAGAATGCATTGTTAGCATTTGGTGTAGCTCAACTAGTTGCAGCAATATTTTATACTGCTAGTCACTATTTATACTTTCATTATTATATTAAAAAGCTTAACAAGTATAAGTTAAAGAGGCGTATGTCATTAAAAGACAGTACTGACGAGTATGTTGTGAGAGAATTTCCTTTCAAAACAGTGAAGGACTTTTTGCCTGGGCAATTGACAAACAAAGTATGTATTAAGATGGATCTTTTGTGTATTATGTATACAGACTGTCATTTTTAGGAATCATATCTAGATAAAAAGTTGACTATTCTTACATGGAGTTTCTTTAGACAAGGAATTCTAAAGCAAATTTTAACAGAAGGAGAAAGGCTAATTATGACAGTAATGCCAGTATTAACATTTACTGAACAGGTATTTAATCAGTTATAATAAGTATTTATATATAAGTTCATTAAATTAATTCTTTTCTATTTCATTTTATTTTCATATGTTTAAAGGGAACATACGAAATTATAAATAATTTAGGTTCTTTAGCAGCAAGGTTTATTTTCCGTCCAATAGAAGAAAGTGGATATTTCTATTTTACTCAAATGGTAAAACGAGACAAACCAGTTAATGACCAAAATCCTGTAGGTATTATATGAAACATTTTTCATGTATTCATATACTACAAATTATTAAAAATAAGTTTCCTTTAAAGGTAAAAATACAAGAAAGCGTAAATGTGCTAACACATTTATGTTCAGCTGTTATGTCGATTGGGTTAGTTGTTTTAGTGTTTGGACAGTCATATTCAAGCACACTTTTATGGTTATATGGTGGTACTAAATTAATTTCACATCTGCCAGTACTCTTAATGCGAGCACATTGTCTAGCTATCCTCCTTTTGGGAATAAATGGAGTAACAGAATGTTACAGCAATGCAACGGCCGATAGTGCGACTATAAATAAGAGCAATTTGATTATGATTTACGAATCGATCGCATTTCTGTGTGCATCCTATTTATTTGCTATTTGGTTTGGACCAGTTGGTTTCATTTTTGGAAACTGTGTAAACATGAGTTTAAGAATTGTGCATTCTACTATGTTTATCAATAAAAGATACAAAGATACAATGTACCGTCCATTACGTGGATTAGTGCCAAAGCCTATGTTTTCTGCTTCTCTTCTAATAGCAGCATTGATCACTAATGTCTCTCATGTAATGGAGTAATACTTTTCATTATTCCATATATTAATAGAAAATGTAGTATTACAACTCGAAATTTTTATGTTTCAGGCTTACTTTTTTCCAGATGAAAAATTATTGCACTTAATTATTGGAGTGATAATGTTTATGATAGTACTTGTCTCTTGGATATATGAACACCATGATTTAATTAGACTTGGTACAAACAAATGGTATGAAAGAAGTAACAGACATAAGAAAAGTGACTGACCTTAGATATGTTTTAATGGTGATTTATTGATATTTACCTATAAACTATCTACAAAGGTGCTATAACGAACTCTTATAAGTCTTGTAAAATTTAATAATCATGTATTTTCTATACTGTTACAATCAGAATCAAGTACAAGTTCTACTATCTCATGAGGATGTGTTAAAAAGCCACCTATATATTTAAAGTTTATATATAATTAACAAAATAACAAACATAATAGAGCTTAGTTTACATACAAACAATATTAATCATTTATATAACAAAACTATTTTACATAGAAATATCCTTATAAATGGCACCTACTACTGCACCTTGGCGTTGTATAAGGCATTTCCTACAAAATAATTTATAATGTTTTTAATATTAATTTAGTGCAAGTTCAAAGATTAGTTAAAGACATGTTGAGTTTCAAAGTTGTTTAATAAATTTGTTGATTAATAATTTTGTATCTTAATTTTAACAGTACAAAACGAAACAAAATCAATAAAAAGACATTACTTGCTATCATTTTGAAGAGAAATAACTGGAGCTGGTGATTTAGGTTCTAGCTTTGCAACTTGATCTGCAATAGCTGCAATTATTCCTGCACTATCAGTAGATGCATTTCCTTTGGCTGAAAATAGTTGTTTCATTCTTATTCTTCCAGATAATGTTTAGTGTATAATGTAAATAAAATTAGCTAGAAATACCTCCTAAACATAATCCGGCATGATCAGCCAAGATGCAGCCAATAATACCTTCAGTATTATTACTATCAAAAAATATTAAATTTAATCAATAATTTGCTAATTTTTACATTTTAAATGTATTTTATAATAAATTTTTTAAATGTATTGTTATATCAATAGACATCAAAATTAATAGAATTCTTCATATTGTATCACAATTTAAGTTATTAAGTGTAAGGGTTATAGTTGCACAGTAATAAGAATATAAAATAATGGTATATGAATATTAAATGTTAATGAGAATATTACATTTTGCAAAATATTTGTATCAGTAGCACTAAAACAAACATCAATTTAGATAATCGCTTTGTCATATATGAGATATATGAGAAAATTCTTGTATAAAACTTACACGTCATCTAATGTTTTTTCTAAATTCTTTTCCATTTCAAGGAATTAAATTACAAAACACGCTCGTTAAAAAATAATTTGCATTAATTAGGTATTCGTTAAAAAGAATTCGTCGTTTTGACGTTTATCATAATTGCACAGTTTTGTATACATTCGCAAGTCGGAGTACTCAGTTACTGCAACAAGTTTAATCGAACGATTCGATATATCGCAATCGTCACATATTCTGTATCGATTACCATTTCTAGATGGTGTTACAAAAAACAGTATTCTTGTAAAATACATTTATTACATTCATTTTGAAAAAAAATTGTACTACATAAAAATTTACAAAATATACTTTTACAAGTAAACAACAACGTGTAAGAATTTTATTATTATAATAAGTTGTTTCGTTACAACTGCATAAAAATTGTTATTCATCAAATGTAAATCACATGTTTCATAAGCAAGTAGATAATTTCTCATATTATTATAAAATATTATTTTTATATGATTTTTAATTTCTATAAAGGAAAATATATGAATTATATTGAATAATATATTGTAATCTATTATAATTTGATATAATTATTATCTTTATTATAGAATATTAAAATGTAGGCAAACAAATTTCTCTAAAAAAAGAATGTTTTTGTAACGTATGTGTTCGTCACCCTGTATAAATAATATCACATCGTAAGCGAATTGGACGACGTGACTGGTACAGTGACAATCATGGCTGGTAAGTGTCAAGATCTGCTTTGTCTATTTTCATTTATTTTTAAAATAGATTTACAATAATTAAAAAAAATGAAAAACGCATTTACACTATAATTTATTGTTTTAATTTCACCTTTTTATATTCTATTGAAAGAAAATGTTTCGTAATTTATTACAATATGAAATTTGCATAATATTATGTATGTATTGCCCTAATTTAAGAAATCACCGGGAAAAACAATCTTTTCAAATTTTATTTTGCTATGTTATTTTTTCATGACAATACATGAGAATCTTAAATTAGTCATTTCGATATATAAAGTCAAATAAATTTATTTTAAGTAGAAAATACAATGTGACATTGATTATAATTTTATGACACCTGTTATATTTGACAACTGCATTGCATGAATATTTTTTACACATTCTCTTGTTTAAAATGCCTCAACAGTTGAAGAAAGAAAATTAAATGAAAATTTCTGGACAGCTATCATTCGATTTTTGATGAAGTATAATTTCTATAATTAGTAATTAAGTAATATGTAATTAAATTTTAACTAAAGCAATTATATGAATGAAGAATTGAAGATTTGAAAAGAAGTTTGATATTATATGCTACATACTAAATATTTATTTTATAGAGAGTATATGATTGTTTTATAATTTTGTATATATTCTAATTTCAAAATCAATATTTTCTATTTCAGGAAATAAATAATATCTTTATTTAATGCAATTTTAATATGGCAAATTATTTTCAGACGAAAATCCATACAATCATTTAATGAAGTCCATTAAAATTGGACTTAAGGAATATAAGTATTTTGATATTACTAATATTGGAAAAAAATATGGTATGTATCAATGAATTGTTAAACATATCATCTCATATAAAAGAATTACAATTTTTTAAGATGGATGTTTTTACAGACAGATTACCTTTCTCGATTAGAGTACTCTTGGAAAGTGCAATTAGAAATTGTGATAATTTCCAGGTAAAGAAATCTGATGTTGAAAAGATTTCAGATTGGGAACATAATCAGGCTCTTGAAGAAGGAACAGAAGTGGCTTTTAAACCAGCTAGGGTAATATTACAGGTAAATAGTTTTATAAAAGACAACTTTTATGTGTTTATGATTTTGTTTGTGACTTAAGTTCCATTTTAAATAGGACTTTACTGGAGTGCCAGCAGTTGTGGATTTTGCAGCTATGAGAGATGCTGTGAAAAGACTAAGATCTGATCCAAAGAAAATAAATCCTATTTGTCCATCTGATCTTGTTATTGATCATTCAATACAAGTTGACTTTATTAGAAGGTAAATGAATAATTTTGCTACATATTTAATTTGACAAAAAAAGTAAAGTATAAAGTGTGTACTTATCGAATCAAAAAGATAATTTCGTATTTTTGTGTAATATAATTACATAATAATGCCAACTCTAAATCTATTTTTGTTTCTTTTTTTCTTTTAGAATCAATGTGAACGATATTACACAAATATTTAAAATAGTGATAATAGCTTTATATTGGGTAATAAAGATAACATAGCTCTGATAACAGTGATTTTTTCCAGCAAAGATGCCTTGAAAAAAAATGAAGATCTCGAATTCGAGAGAAACAAGGAACGATTTATGTTCTTAAAATGGGGTGCCAAAGCGTTTCAAAATATGTTAATCGTACCTCCAGGAAGTGGAATAGTACATCAAGTAAATTTGGAATACCTAGCCAGAGTTGTATTTGATACGAACAATATGTTGTACCCTGATAGTGTAGTTGGGACAGATTCCCATACAACTATGATCAATGGTCTTGGTGTACTTGGATGGGGTGTTGGAGGAATTGAGGCTGAGGCTGTTATGTTAGGCCAGGCTATATCAATGGTAGTACCAAAAGTAGTGGGATATAGATTAGAAGGAGTCTTGAATCAATATGCGACTTCAACAGATCTTGTTCTTACAATTACTAAGGTAGCAGAAAATTTCCTAGTTTTAAAAAAATATTTGTGAATCTAATAATACAAAAGATTTATAATTTATTTATATAATAATTTATTCATATAATTGCAGCACCTTCGTCAGATTGGAGTTGTTGGAAAATTTGTAGAATTCTTTGGTCCAGGCGTTTCTCAATTGAGTATTGCAGATCGCGCAACAATCTCGAACATGTGCCCAGAATATGGTGCAACGGTTGGATTCTTCCCTATTGACCAGCAGAGTTTAGCATACTTAAAGCAAACAGGTATACAAACTATAAGAAGAATATTAAACTTGGCAATAACACTTCTACAATCCAATTCACGTATAAAATTCTTTTATAGGACGAACTGACGAACATATTAATATGATAGAGAAATATCTTACTAGTGTACGCATGTTGAGGAACTATGACGACCCAAACCAAGATCCGGTCTTCTCAGAGACAGTCACTTTGGATTTAGCAAGTGTTGTATCTAGCGTTAGTGGCCCTAAGAGGCCTCACGATCGAGTGTCTGTCGTAGATATGAAGGCAGACTTCAGGAAGTGCCTTACTAATAAGGTAGGATTTTTAAGTTATCATAATATTCTTACCATAGAATGCTATTGTGCCAATTTATTAACATCCGCTGTGCAGGGCATTTGATTGTGTAGTAACATGCAATAGCGATGATTGGTCAGTACTTGTATGGGACAAACAAAACCCAGTGACGATTAATTATTACCGTCAAACAGGATCATGTTTATCCCATGCTGTACTTGAAAGTATGTGCATTTTTCCGCGTCTTTCCAAGCGCGTCGTTCTGCGTGCTATTTCGAAGCGTGATGTGTGCTTACTAAAGTTTCCCAGTGGAGAAAGGCGAAAGAATCCTAGGTAACTACTGCTGTGATATGAATCTCTTAGGGCGACACATCACAGCAGAGTTCCTTGGGATCCTTTCATCTAAAAGACGATTATCTGTGGCGTGTATATGAGTTCACAAAGCGCAATTTTGAAATATTTGGAGAGAGATCCTGTTACCTTGTACCTTGGTATTTAATCATTATGCTTCACTATGTTACATGAAGATATGTCTCGTATATCCCACCTTGCTGGTCTAGCTTTATGGTCTTTCGATTCACCATATAAATAGATCACCAAGGAAAAATAAACGAGACGATTTGGTAGAAATGTTGAAGTTGGACGAACACACTTGTGGATGATGAATCTCGCTATTGAAGACGAGTATTTCGATCTAGTCACGATTTCTTTGCAACGTAGTACTAGATGAATACTCCGTCCCTAATAACGAGAGTATACGTTTCGTAAATACCTCTTAATAACAATTGGAGAACGGAGGCGGACACTGGATGAATCCTACCCGGTGAGGCTTCTTTCCCAACCACACCGGACGAGATTTCATCCGATAGCAGCCTCCATATTGTTCTTGAAGCATGTAGGATGTTTCTTCTGTCGAACTTCTTTAACTGGTACGAATGTTATACTGGGGGATGAATACGAGCAAAATGACTATACCGATCGTCAATGAATCTTAAGATTAATAACAGATCACTAATAGTTCAAGAACAGTTTATCACAAAGACGAAGCAGTAATGATTTTAACTCCCACGATATGTAGTATGTTTTACGAAAATTAATTTTTGCTCGAAGTTGAAGTTGAAGCTACTAGACTAGTCATCCGCACTTGTTAACTGCACACTAATGACCCTTTACGCTCGTCTGTCTCATTTATATGTTCCCTGGAGGTACCCCCACCCTCTTTCCTTAAGCAATGCCGACCAACCTGGTGAACATTCCATGAACTTCCTATACCTTCCTCAGGTAGACAAAGATTTTTCGATGAGGTCATTGTGCATACAATGTTTCCCTGCAAACAACTAAAATGAAATCACGTATTGTTTTCAGGAATAGCATAGAAATATTGGCAAAAACAAATCTTATAGGTCTATGGTTATTATTTAGTATAAAATAAATATAATTATAATTACTGAGTTGATTAACTTAATCGTTTGTTGAACAATAAGAAAAAAATGTTTAGTAAATTATTTATAAGTAGATCGTGGATTTTTATGCATTTATATGAAAGTTGAAAGTGAAAAACGTACACGCAATGTAGGCAATATAAAAATCCAAAGTATTGTGCTTGCTATGATACTTGGTAGGTAAAATAATTTTCTACTGAGATTTTATTTTTTTAATTATATTTTTAGAAATATGAATTTGCACAAAAACCCGCAGTCAATTCACAAGATAAATAGTTCTTAATAAATGTTTTCAGCGGATGATTTTAAAAATGACAGTTATAAGGCAGTGTTATCCTTTTTCAAATCGCGCAATATTTACATGAACAACCTTCATTTATTGCTAGTTTGAAAATGAGTTACGTTTATGTACATGATCCAGTCATTGTATACTTTAGATTATTATATGTTAATGGTTGACCATCACGACATAAATATTGGTCAAAAGCAGTAACGATAATCGTGCGAACGTGATGAAGCAACAACAAGCTCGCATGATTTTAAAAACAAGGGACCGATCGATTTC